CACCCGGCAGCATCCCTCCCGCCTGACCCCCAGCACCCCTCGCTCGCTGCCGAAACTGCCGACGGGTGGCTGCCGCCTCGCCCGGAGAGGAGCCGGGATGATGAGCTCCGCTTTCCGCCATGATTCCCAGCACCCCCGTGTGAGGGAAAAACCCCCCGTTGATGAAGGGGGAAACTGAGGCACGGAAGAGGAGCTGCAACCCGCAGCCAAGCTGCTGCTCTCTGCCCTTCAGCTGCCAGAGATGCAGCCAGAACCTGCTCCTGGTGTTGAATGGGAAACAGGAGTCGCTGGGGCTTCTGATGCGACCCTGGATGCAGTCCCCGCTGTGACAGAGCCAGGCTCCTAAGAGCCATAATTGCCAGCTTTTCCAGCTCAGCTCAGGGTCACGGAGCTTCCAATATGTCCCAGTTTGGTTCCCAGCCAAGATTACAAAGCATGGAGGCTGGCACAAGTCCTCACCTCCCCCTTGGACATGGGCATGGTGTGGAGCAGGGTTTCTCCAGGCCCCTGCCAACGGACCATGATGAAGGGGACCCAGTGATGTCCTGGTTTGCAGGGAGCCAGTGGAGAGGAAGAGGATGGTTGGCCTTCACAAACAGCACCGGCACCTCGGATGGAAAAACACCTCCTTTGGTCCTGATGGCCCTAAAACCCTGAAGGAGGTGGTGGTTGTGCCATGCCAGCTCCATGAGGGACTGTCCGGGTCTGCATCCACCGAGCGCTGCGGCCTGGGCGCTCCTGTACAGCTCGCCTTGCACCCAGGTCTCCAAACCAGCCCCTGGATACCTTCAGGAGGAGGACGTAGGATGCCAGGGTGCCCAGCTCATGGCCCCAAGCTTTCTTCACCTGTTTGGAGAGGCGAAAGCTGCAGGACACCAGCCCTGGAGAGCTGAGCTCCATTGCTGAGGGGACGGGTCACCCCGCATCCCAACCACTGGACTCCCACTCAGTGACAGCCCTGCAAGGAGATCGGACCCTGTGGGAGCTTCGCCCCATGCCTGCCACCGGGCGCATCTCTCTCCAAGCTGTGCAAGCAGGGCAAGGAGGTGACACACACATGAATTTTCACCCGTCTGGCTTCCCTTCACCCCAGGCAGGAGTGCAGTGGGTGCCCGGCCCCTCACCCAGGGCAGTGCGTGGGTGCTGCTGGAGTGGGGTTACTAACCGGGGCAGCGGGGTGTGGAAAGCAGAGCAGCAAGAGCACGGGGGGAGTGAGTAAGCAGCAAGTCACTGCCCTGGGGGGCACGGCCGGGGCTCCACTGCTGAGCAGCACCGGGGTCACCCAGGGAGCGGGATGTGCCAAGGGTCGAGGCAAGCAGGGGGACCCCATTCCCTGCCCTCCTCCTCCTCACACCTCCCCAGCAAGGATGGGATGCCAATAGGTGGGATGCCACCCAAAGGAGTGAGGCTTTGGCGAGGCATGGTGTCAACCCACGGACCCACCAGCTGCAGTCACGCTGAGGCCGGGCGCTGGCGGGCAGGAGCTGCCCGAGCTTGTGCTGCGGGTACTGGGTGGGATGGAGGGAGCACGCGCCCGCAGGCGTGCTGGCCCTGAAGCCATGCCCAAGCCCTGGAAGAGCAGGGATGAGAAGAAAGTGGTCCACCCACCCCTGGTCACTGTGTCCTTCCTCTGGGCGCTGGTGGAGGCTGGAGCTGGAGTGGCAGCAAGACCCCCTGTACAGCCTGAGCAAATATCGAGGTGTGCCCAGCTCTGCCTAGCACCCTCCTGCAGAAGGAGGGGATTTGAAGGGGTCAAGCCTCTGATGCAAAGCCCAGCTGAGACCTCCAGCTTGGGGCATGCACATGGCAGAGATGGGCAGCCTGGGTGTCACCACAGGAGAGTAGAGGTGACCAGGAGCAGGGATGAGGGATGGCATGGATAAAGCTCAGTTGCCTTTGGGGAAGAACACAAGTAGCCAAATTCTGGAGCCAGCGCCAAATCAAAGAGCACAAAAAAAACCAACCCAGCGGGTCAGTGGCTGCACCAGAAGGTCCACAGGGAGATGCCATCGGGCAGGGGCTCCCGCACTGGGGGTTGCTTTGCTGCCCACATGGCACTGCTCTGGGGTGAGGGCATGCCTGGTATGGCCAGGCAGCCCGGCCTGCCGGGCACCGTGGGGGACCGTGGGCTGTGGGGTGGTGGGTGTGGGTCAGCAAGCCCGGGGGATGACTCACGATGGTCACCCCAAGGCACACAGGCAGGGCCCTACAGCCCAGCACCCTGCACTTACAGGCTCCACATGGCGTGGGTGCTGGTCAGCACAGTGGACGAGTAGGGGAGGCCACCAGCTCATGAAACCCACCCAGGGGTGCGTGGCTTCAGGGGGCATGGAGCAGGGTCCCTCTCGAGCAGGGTGCAGCTATGGGTCCTGGTGGACAGGTCCTCCCTAAGCTGGCATCTGGAGGAGCCCCATGAAGACCTGGAGACGCACTGCCCGTGGGCATATGTGGGAAGGGGATGCAGGGCAGGTGTCCATCCCTCCAGCCCCCTCAGACCCACAGCTGGAGTGGAGCACATCCCACCTGCAATGGTTTTCCCCTTGCTCTCTCTTCTACCTCCTGACTGCCCTCAGCGGTGCCCACGGAGAGCCGATGGGCGTTGGGGCACTGGAGAAGCCTGGCTTTGCTCGCCCCCATCCCCACAGTGTTGCCATCCCTGCAAGTACAGCCCAACCATAAACCAGCTCAGCTGAAATCCTGCCCTGAACCTGCCCAGGGCTCCTGAGACACCAGGTTTGCCCACCCCGTATGCCTGCACCCTCTGGACCAGCCCAAGAGCCCCAGGCAGTCCCTACCTGTCCTGCTCAGAAAGAAATCGCTGTTGCACAAGCAGCCGGGTAAGAAACATGAGAAGATGAAGGGAGGAGGAAGAAAGACAATTCACAGGGCTGGTGGGAAGAAGAGTCTGTTCCCTGCACCCTGGCACTAACCGAGGGACTGGCAGCACCTGAGTGGCACATCTTCCCCATCGGCGCTGACCACAGCCTGCTCCCCTCCACCACGGAAAGGTCTGTGTGTCTGCCCATCCCCTGTCCCTCTGCCTCTCCTTAGACACAGGGGCACAGAGAGTACAGGGTGAGGGTGACTGTATCTTCAGTGAGCCCTCTGGGGACATCCCACCACAATGAGGATGCTCTTTCTCATGCTACAATGTCATCAGCATGATGTCACTTCTCTGATATCGCACCCAAACCTTTCTCTGTAGATGCAGCTGTCTGCCAGGATCCCAGTGGGCTCCGTTATCACCCACAAGTGGCCAAGCCCTGCTGTGTGCCTGGGCTGAGGTTTGTTCCCACCAGGACCCAGTCCTTCTGCACCCCACTGCGTCACTCTCACAGAACAGTTTGCCACCAGAGTGGGGAAAAAATGCCTCAAGCGGCAGCCCCTGTCCCTCCCCGTCTCCACTGCACAGCCAATGCACCCAGGAGGGGGATGGGGATGGGGTAAAGACCTTCCTTTCCTGCCCAGGGGAACACGCCCCCTTGGCTAAGCACCCACAGGCGCGAAGGCATGCCATCAAGGTCCCTAGGCATCGGTGACAGGGACTGCAAGGAACAGCTCTACCAATGCCACCAGCCCTGGAGCTTCCAGGAGCCCTGACACAACTCATGGTTGCACCCCTGAACCCCTCCTCACTAAAAGCAAAACCCACAGGCACCGGTGCTACCCAGACCCGGGAGAGGGAACGGATACTGGGAGCAGGCGCGTGGGAAGATGCCCATCTTGAGCTGGCTCAAAGGGCCGGGCAGCACCTGGACCTCCCTCCCCTGCATGGGAAGAGCTCCCTGGAAATGAGGGATTATCTCAGCTGGGGGCTGGAGATCCCAAGCTTTGGGGGAAGCAGCTCGTGAACCAGCCAGCTGCTCCGGTGCCCTGTCCCGCGAAGCCTGGTGTGTCCGTTTGGTGGTGCTGGTGGCCTCATCCACACATCACCTCCTCCCAGCTCGCTGGCTCCGGGCTCCGGAGCAGAGCAGAGTGCGTGCTGGTGATCCCCCTGCGGCCGCTCCACTGCCCGGCGCATTCGGCTGCGCTGTGTGCAGCCGCGTTATTATTCTTAAATTAAAGATTCCTTTTCTTCTTCTTTTTTAAGAGAAGAAAAAGCAAGTTTGACCCCTTGCCCTCCTCTGCCAAATCCTGCTAATCTCCCCAAGCTGGCGCTGCCAGCACACGCACGGCATGGTCACGGCACCAGCAGGAACCCAGGCTCGGCAGCGAGACGCAGCTCGGAGAAGCCGGGGTGGAGGGCAGCGGTACCCCAGCACCCTGCCCTTGCTGGTGCTGTCTGCCTGTCTCTGAACTGAATGCAAAGTGAGCTCCCGCTTCACCCCCGCCTGCTCCAGCCACGGGCAGGACGGCACCAATGACCCTGGAGCTGGGGCTCAGGGCAGGAGCTTGGGGGTGAGGGCTCACTGGGTGGGTGCTGATGAGGATAGGGCAGAGAAAGCGGGGAGAGCTGATGGGACAGTTGTGTGTGCGGAGCAGCGACCTGAGAATTAGCCAGGGGAAAAACACAGCTCTCAGGAAGCTGGAGGGACTGTGCCCCGGGATGGCGCAGCTACCCCGAAGCGGGTAGTGAGGAGCAGGGGCACCCTCGGTACGCACCCTGTCCCGGCCAGGGCTCATCCTCCCTCGCTCTCCCCTCCTCTAGCAAAGAGCCCAAGGCAAGCCCCTCTCAGATCCACATCAGCCCCTTTCCCGGCAATAAACGGAGCGCTTTGGCTGTGCGGCCAGACTCTCAGCTGGAGTACAACTGACCGTAACAGCACCATTTATACCCACCCAGGCTCCTTCTTCTGCCCTGAGCCCTTGAAGCCAGGGCTAGCCAAGGAGGTGAGGCTGACGAATAAATCCAAGGCAGGGGGGGGGACCGGGAGGGGAAAGGCTTACGGAGAGCTTTATTTTAGGGGTCAAAAGAGTGTGACAATGTGGAGACGAATAGCCGCAGATAATGAATGATAGCCCGGACGGCACGCCGGGGAGCTGGAATCTAAGCACTTAAAACCGGATAAAGACAGGCTGGGTGAAATTCTTAATAGATTTAAATAGTTCATGTTTCGACAGATACCTGGGCTTTCCAAGGCTGGGTCCCAGCTCTGCGCCTGTAATGAATCCCCCACCCCCTCCTGTATCCTGCACAGCACCGTCTCTGCCTTTGATGAAGGCACCACTACAAACAGGGGTTTTGTCCCCGCCACATCCAGGCCACCGCTCAAAAGGGGACACCATAGGGACCCTCGGGTTTTTAATTAAAATTGACTTATTGGAGGGGTCTGGAGGCCCCTGCCCCCCCTTCCTCACCCCTCAGGCATACAACCCTCCCAAGCTGCTGGCTTGGGGCGTGGGGAGGCAGGCTGCAGCTCTCTCCACGGGACCTGGATGCCCCATACCCCTGGGGGACCCCCAGCCTGCTGTCCCCAGGGCTCTCTTGTGCCTGAACCCCCACAGCATGGGGACAGCCCCGATCTGGATCCGCCTGGCCGGAGAGCAGCGGTCCGCACCCAAGGGGCACCCTGGGTGCAGGGGACTCTGTTGTCCCCAGACTGGGGTGGGGGGACCATCCCCGGAGGGGGAGGGACCCTGCGCGCCCTCCTGGCACCTACCCCGCCACGTCCTACTCACCACCAGAGCCCGATGATGTTGGCGGGGCAGAGGAGGATGAAGAAGAGCCCCAGCTGGGTCCGGGAGGAAGGCAGCATCCT